ATTCTATAAAATAAATTTTCACTTTTATCATACATTTTTGTTTTTATATCTCAATAAATTTCAATCTAGCGATGCCAATAATCTATTTGTAACAGCGATCTAATGTTGCATAAAACGTAAGACCGAAATACAACATTTGTTGTTGAATTCAATATAGAGCTAATTTTTAATAACATTGGCCCAACGCTGTAAAGAATATTAAGCAAATATTTCATAAGTTATTGGGTCCATGTTCTATACAACGTTGGGATACCGTTTAATTAATTTTATAAACAAATTTTGATTAATTTTGTATACAACAATTTTTTTCATATTTTAATAATAATAATATAACGTTTTTAAAATAATTTCATCAAAAAAAGCATTGAATAGCCTTAGTCTTTTAGATAAATCTAGGTAAATGTTTAAATAATGGAAAATAATGATCCGTCAGCACTGTTAAAACTTTAAATTTATATCAGTATTATGTTTTCTTTTCAAAGAGTTGGTTTTATAATTTATGCTTACTATTTAAAAAAATATTGTTCACTCAACTCCTCAGAGCAAACATTGAACTTCTGCAAAGATTTTTGGAGTTACATGTAAATCTCAAAGTTTAATAATATTTTTTGTATTATTATATTAAATTGAGGATAAATCATTACAAAAATAGTTTGAAGATAACTATATATAATTATTTGTAAAATTAATATAAAAATAATTTGAAGATAACTATAACAAATATAAACAGTTTTTATTCTCTTTAATCGTTATTTTGGCTGATCATTTTTGCTGTTTTCCTGTTTTGTCTCCAAAGCAAAATTTTAGTCTACTTTCTGAAGTTTCTGCTAAGTTCAATCTTGGATTGCATAAAAGTTAAATCAATTCATTAATAATTAAGTTATAACTAAAGTTAACATATAAGCCTTAAGTTGTCAACTGTTGTACGCAAACTAAATATGAACAACGTTTAATGAAATCTATTTTTTTTAGGTGCCCCAAGAAGATCTAACGGTCTTGTCACAGAACACCGCGGAAGTGTATTTAACCAGGAATTTAACGCCTCCTTCCTTAGCGTTACGCAAAAATATGTACAGAGTTCGTTTCGAACCTGGATATCCTATTTACAAAGAAACCACTGCGCCACAGCCGCACAAAATTAAAAATTAATAAAACCTAAAATAATTTCCCTCCGTCTCAGAAAAATGGAATATACAGAGTTGTTTAGATTCAAATTGATTGGTTTAAATCAGTTGATTTAAATCATGATTTAAATCGGGACAAATATAAATCATGATTTAAATTGAGTTTTTTAATTTTAATCATTTTTAATGATTATTTGTTGATTTAATCTCATAATTCAATTATTTGTTATACTCTGGTCATTGGCCTTAATAATAAAATGTCTGGCAATATTAGAAAAAACTCTACATAACTAAAATTTAGATTCTAGATTTTGTACAATGTGTAAATATATTAGTAGATGGGGTTTTACAATCAAATACTTAAAAAATCAACCAAAGTAAACATATTTAAAATGTAAAACAACAGTTTCTAACAACTATAATGCCACTGTAGTAGTCATATATAAAACATATATCTTATGGCACTAGTGATGTACAATTTGCAGGTACTATTAATACCTTTATGAACTAAAAATTAAACTATTATGAATAAATTAGGAAAACAAAAATAGTTTTTCAATAATTTTTACTGTTGGGATATTTCAAATGTTTAATTTATTCAATAAAGACATTTTAAATATCTTTCTTATTAAATAAATGAAATATTTGAAATGTCAATACAGATATAAGTATTAAAAAAAAACAACTGTAAGGTTTTATACAAAATAAATTTATTATTTCCTAAATTATTACAAATAGTAATAATTAATTATTATTGTAATACAATAATAATTTAGATTGTAGTATATTTTGTAACCACATTATCAAAAAAAATAAATCATTAAGTCACGAGAACCTCTTCATGCTGACTTCTTATGAGGTGACCTTATAAGGTTCTTAGAAGAATAATAAAAGTAGCCTATTTTGTTTATTTTTATAAATAAGAAAAAATGGAAAAATAATATTAAAACCTTTTTTATTTTGTATAACGATACCATTTTTTTAAATATTATGCAACAAGTTTTAAAAATATACCAAAATAATGATCCACAACCACATCGGCCGAAAATTGGATCAACAGAGTTACGGGGTTTGAGTAAGAACATATTTTTTTAGCAAAATATTGAGCCGATACTACATTGGCCAAATGTTAGCCCTACATAGTACCATATTTGCAATAAATTGATTAAAAGAATTGAAATATTATGTCAAAAAAAAATATTAGCTGCATTTTAACTTGCTGGTTGGGGTGGAACATGGCATTTTTTTTCCACTGAGCTAATTTCACTTTTAACTGCACCGGTTGATGAATAGCTTTTATTAATCTTTTGCTGGTATGTCGTTAAAAAACAAATGCTTTTACTTTAAAAGGGCCAAAGGAGTTTAAATAGTGTGAATCAAACACAAACAGAAACTGTTTAAAGTTTTAGAAAATTTAAACAAGCATTTAGCTTTATAAAAGCAGAAAATTAAAAAAAAAACAATCTTAATAAAATACTATTATGAAAATTAGTGTAAAGTTTATAAACAAAACAGTTTTAAAATGCAACTCACCAGGTCGCAAATCTGCTGCGAGGATAATAAAAATAAAGTAAGAAAATTGTGTAAATAATCAAAATTAACCTCATAAGTCAGTGATAATCAATGTTGCAAAGTTACTAAATTTTTTTTTTATTTATTGAAGATAAATATGTACCCTTCATTCAAAAGTATTTATTGAAGATAAATATATGCAGCCTCCATTCAAAAATTAAAGAGATATATATGCATCCTTCATTCAAAAATGGCAAATTTTTTGTTGACTGTTGTTCAACTAACCATATAGTTGTCAATGTGGATAGTACTTCGTACGCAAAAATGTTGATCAATAACGAACGCTACATTGGATTAGTCTTAATGACTATTTGTGGTTGTTCCTATGCTAATCCAACAATATCTTCGGATATAAGAACATTGTATAAAAAAATATAGCATGAAAATTCAAATTAAAAAAAAAAAAAAAAGGAAAAATTTTGATTTACATAGAAGAGAATTTTAAGTCAGAGGAACATTATATTTTGATGGTTGATTATACAAAGTATAATAAAGTTGCCATAGAAAAGAAACAACTTCACTAGAACAACTACTGAGGATGGGAATCTTGTTCAAGTTTAACTTGAAAATACTTTGATTATAGGAAGTAACCCTAAGTGCTTTTTTTCAGTTAAATCTCCTGCACAATTATGTTAAATATATTTATATTTAACATAATTGTGCAGGAGATTGAACTGAAAAAACAATATATCTAGCAAAATATCAACTTCTTATAGTGATCCCATGAAAGTAAAAAAAACCTGTAATAAGATAAAAGCATAATGTTAAAACTAAATTACTAAACGAAACCTTATAGAATTTCTCACCATCTTGTCATATTGAAAAAGTTCAACTTAGAATAAATGGGTTTTTTCAGTCATAAGGGAAACTGATCATTTAAATGATTTTAAAAAATTCTTGAAGTGTAGCAAAAAATCTTACTCAAATTGGAGGAGTTAAATGTTCTAAAACATTTTCACACGCTGCTAGACTTCAATCTGTGAGGATAATTAAATGTTTATCAGTACATGAAAGTCTATCGACTTAAAATGTATTTAAAATGTACACACTTACATATTCAACTAAAATACAAAACTGGTGTTTTACAAAAACCTGGATATGAATAATCAAACAATGAAATAACTTCAAATTTGATTAAGTCCCTATAAAACCATAAACAAAGTAAAAATAAATGGATCTATTTATTAAAATTCTTCTTAATATGAGCTATTTAATGTAAATCTGATGCATTCATACATATAAGCTATAATAGGTTTTCTTAACTGAAACATTAGGCTCCTATATTAGCATCACAAAATGCGTTTTGTGATGCTAATTTAGGATATTATGCTAATTGTTAATTTCAAACGATCAAGAAAGTTTTCATGCTTTTGTTTTAGTCTTTTAAGTAATAGCCCAAGCATAG